TCGAGACAGGGTTTCTCTGTGTAGCTTTCCGCTGTTCCTGGATCTCACTCTGTAGCCCAGGCTGGCCTCGAACTCACAGAGATCTGCCTGGCTCTGCCTCCCGAGTGCTGGGATTAAAGGCGTGCGCCACCACCGCCCGGCCAGTCAGAGTTCTTAACCACTGCGCCATCTCTCCAGCCTCCCAGTTCTCTTACTCGCCTTCTGAGGGACCAGAGGATTAACCCGAGACCAGCCTGTTTGTGCAGCCGGTGCTTTACCCTCCGAGCCATCTCACTAGTCTCGTCCTCTCTTGTGTATCCCAGGCTGACCTCGAACTTGCTGTGTAGCCAAGGATGGCCGTGTGATCCTCCTGCCTCCACCTCCCAGATACTGGGATTACAAGTATGTGCTATCACATCTGGCTCTGCTTTGGGATTTTTAAGATTATTTTTTTTTTTCTGACTTTTGTATGTGGGCACGTGTGCCATCATTATGGAACCATACTGCCTAGAACCTCTCTGTCCTGCCTGGACATCACGCCCCTGCTCCATAGTTTGACTTTTCCAGAATGCCACTGTCTCAGGGTTTTTAGTGCAGTGAAGAGACACCATGACCACAGCAACAATTTTTTTTTTTTTTTTTTTTGGTTTTTTTCGAGACAGGGTTTCTCTGTGTAGCTTTGGAGCCCGTCCTGGAACTCACTTGTAGACCCGGCTGGCCTCGAACTCACAGAGATCTGCATACCTCTGCCTCCCTAGTGCTGGGATTAAAGGCATGTGCCACCACCACCCGGTTATCCTTATTATTTTAAATTTTTTTTGTTTATTTATCTTATATGTATGGGTGTGTTGTCTGCATGAATGTCTACCACTTTGTGTGCCTGGTGCCAGAGGAGGTTAGAAGAGTTGGGTTGCCTGGGACTGGAGTTACAGATGGCTGTGAACTACCATATGGGCGCTAGTTCTTAAACACAGGTCTCCTGGAAGGGAGAGTAGCTAGTGCTCCTAACCACCGAGCCATCGCTGTAGCCCCTTCTTACTATTTTCAGTTTAAAGGTTTTTCATTACATTTTATTTTATTACGTGTGCACGCGTGCTTGTGTGCGTGCGTGTCCTTGCAAGTGCTACTCCCCATGACTGGAGGTAGAGATAACGTAGGGGAATCAGCTCTGTCCTCCTATGTAGGTCCTGGGAATTAAACTTAGGGCGTCAGGTTTGGCAGCACTTGTCTTTACCTGCTGACCCATTTCACCAGCCCTGTTTCCGGCTCTTTGAGACAGTCTCACTGCACAGTCTTGGCTGGCTTGGTACTGGCTGTTAGGCCAGGGTGGACTTGGACTGACAGCAGTCCTCTCTCTGCCTGAACGCTGAGATTGCAGGTGCTCATTACCACAACCCGTCTTCTGTTAAAACAAAGACACGGGCTGGAGACATCGCTCAGCAGTTAAGAGCACTGGCTGCTCTTCCAGAGGACCCAGGTTCAATTCCCAGCACCCACATGGAGACTCACAACTGTCTATAACACCAGTTCCAGGGCATCCGACACTCTCACACAGACAATACATGCCAGCAAAACACCAGTGCACATAAAATAAATAAATCTTTAAGCAAACAAACAATTAGTTCAAGTGTCCACAGAGGGCAGAAGAGGGCTCCTGGAACTGGAGTTACAGATGGCCCTTAACTGCCATGTGTGCTGGGAACCAAGCCTGGACCCTCGGTAAGAGCCGCCAGTGCTGCTGACTGCAGAGCCAGCCCCAGGCCTTTTCTCTTTAATGACATTTGTAAAGTTCAGGCATGGTAGCACAGCCTGTAATCCCAGCATTTAGGAGGAGAACCATGAGTTCAAGGCCAGTCTACACAGCAGTAAGTCACTCTTTGAACACGGAAACAAAGAAGCTGGAGAGGGTGGCTCAGCAGTTTAAAAACACCAGCAAGCGGCATACTGCTCTTGCAGAGGATCTGAGTTTGGTTCCTGGCATCCAGATCGGCCGCTTGTAACTGCCTATGACCCCAGCTCCAGGGCATCTGACCCCTCTCTTCTGGCCTCTGTGGGCACATGTAGTCACATGCGTATGTGCACACACATACAGCTAAAATATTAAAAAAAAAAAAAGAGTTATCTATTACCTATAATAATTGGAGCACACAGTGGATACAGACCAATTTTTAAGTTTTTTTAAATTTTTTTTATATGTATGTAATATTATGTGTATGGGTGTTTTTCATGTATGTATGCCTGGTGACTGACTCCTGAGGAGGAGGAGGGAGGGCATTGGATTCCCTGGGATTGGAGTTACAGGTGCTTGTGAGCCGCCATGTGGGTTGGGAAGTGAACCTGGGTCGGCTGGGAGAACGGCCGGTGCCGTTAACCACTTAACCACTGAGCCATCTGCCCAGCCCCTGCTTTGGACCACTCGCGAGATGTTTTATGTCTTTTTGTCGTGCCGAGTCTTCAGAAGTACTTGGCATGCATTTTATACTCCGTACATCTCAGTTTAGGTGTAGAATTTCCAATGGTTGTTGTATAGTTTTACTAAAGCCACAGAGTTGTGTCTAATGGAAAATTTTACACCCTTTCTGGGTGTTGGCTTTGTTATTTCAATGAACGTGAAAGGAACAGCCCAGCTCCTTAGTCACACTTGTCATATGCCAGGTACCTAGTGGCCTTGACCTTGCAGTGGCCCCTGTGTGCCCGAGCAGTAAAGGCTTGGAGCTTGTCCAGGAGCTGGCCTTGCTGCTGCCGCATCCCTGGTTGGCTCTTCCCTGCTTGGAGGCTACACAGAGTCCTTATTGCCTTCAGAATAAAGATCATGCATGCTCTGTAGCCTGGCTCTCTTGGCCTTGGTTTGCTTGTCTGTAAAATGGGAACTTAAGCAGTGTGTGGTGGTGCATACCTACAGTCCTTGCACTTTGAAGGTGGAGGCAGTAAGACTAAGAGGAGCTCAGATTGTCTACTCTGTGTGAGGGAGGTGGAGGCCAGGCTGAGACGTATGGAACCTTATCTTTTTATGTATTTATTTATGTATTTATTACATATACAGTGTTCTGTCTGCATGCATGCCTTTATGCCAGAAGAGGGCACCAGATCTCATTACAGATGCTTGTGAACCACCATGTGGGTGCTGGGAATTGAACTCAGGACCTCTGGAAGAACAGCCAGTGCTCTTAACCTTTGAGCCATCTCTCCAGCCCCCTCCCCCAAACCTTATCTTAAGACCTAAATAAGTCCTGGGGAAACAATGCAGTTGGTAAAGTGCTTGCAAGCTTGAGAACCTGAGTTCAGATCTCCAGTATTCATGTAAAAAGCCAAGCATGGAGGCTTGCGGCTGTAATCCCAGAGCTGGGGAGGCACAGATCAGTTGGTCTCTGGAACTCCTTAGCCATCCAGCCTACTCTAACTGGGGAAGCTACAGGTTCAAGGAGAAACCCTGTCTCAAAAAGTAAGGTGGGCAGTGATTCTGGACAGCACCCGGCATGACCTCTGGCCTCCACATGCATGCACACATGTACACACAAGAACACACATACATACATATGGATCATGTACTCAAACAGAAAAAGACCAAAATAAGCGTTGAATGAATGAATGAGCAATAGGTAAAAGGGAACCAAGAGCACCTACCTGTAGGGTACTTGTGAAGAGTAAAAAGTAATAATGCATAAAATGTGGTGTGCTCCTACAGCAGAATATTGCTCTATTGTAGGAAGAAATGTAGGAAGACTTTATAACGTGGATGGACCTTGAAAGCATTTGGTTGAGTGAACAAAGTCAGATCCCATAGGGTCCATATTGTGTGAGTCCATTCCTATGAGGTATCCAGGATGGGTAGATCCATAGGGAGAGAAAGTAGACCCATGGCCGGGGCTGAGAGGGAAGCTGGGAGTGGGTACCAGCATGATGTAAGTGTTCTGGAGCTCAGCGATGGTGATCGTTGCTTAGTGAACATACTGAAAACACTGAGTTATACGAATTAAGAGGGTAAACTCTGTGGGTTATGAAGATGAACTCTATGATGGTGATGGTCACTATTGTGATGTGGTGATGGTGTGATAGTGAGCGTGGTTACAGTACTACTGAATGTGGCAGTAATGGTAGCAGTGATTGTGATGTGGTGATGGTAATAGCAATGGTAGGAGTGGTGCTGGTTGATGGTTTAGTGGTGATTATGTTAGTACTGGTAATGCTGGTTGTGATGGTCATAGTGATATGGTGGTGATGGTAGTTTTGTTAATGGAAATGGCGGTGATGGTCATAGTGATGACGGTGGTGTTGATGGTTTTAGTAATGGTGATGGTAACAGTGATGGTCGTGTTGCTGGTGGTGTTGGTGGTGGTTGTGGTGATGCTGATGGTGATGATAATGATGCTGGTGACATATAATCATATAACGATAGTGCTATAGTGATAATGCTGACGGTGATGGCAGTGATGATGACAGCTGTAAGGATCCGTTCTCTGTCCTCCAGCCAGCTCCCAGATAGCGAGCGGCACAGAGACTTTCATTATGAAGCTCGGCCTGAGCTGTGGCCTGTCCCACTGGCTCTTATAACTTTAATTCACCCATTTATGTTAATCTGTGTTTTGCCTTGTGACTTTTTACCTTATCTCTGTACTGCCGATCCTGCTTCCTCCATGTGTCCTGCTTCTCCTGCATGCCTAGATTCCTCCTCCTCTTCCTTCCTCTCCCCAGAGATCCCGCCTATGCCTCCCGCCTAGCTTTTGGCTGTTCAGCTCTTTATTAAACCAATCAGAAGGAACCTTGGCAAAGACACCTCTTCACAGTGTACAAAAGATTATTCCACCTGGACTACCAAGTGAGTTCCAGGAAAGGCGCAAAGCTACACAGCGAAACCCTGCCTCGAAAAAAACCAAAAAAAAAAAAAAAAAAGATTATTCCACAACAAATAGTGATGGGTGGTGTTGACAGTTGTAATACTTGAGATGGTGTTGGAGGTCATGGTGATAGTGATGGTGGAGGCCATGGGGACTGGGACCTCAGAGCTCTGCCCCTCCCTCCAGGTCTGGTCCGAGAGCAAGAGGCTGGCTTGCTGCAGTTCCTCCGCCTGGATGGGTTCTCTGTGCTGATGCGGGCCATGCAGCAGCAAGTGCAGAAGCTGAAGGTCAAGTCGGCATTCCTGCTGCAGAACCTGCTGGTGGGCCACCCGGAACACAAAGGTGAGGTGGCTGAAGGGGACATGTCGGGGACATGGGGTGGCGTGGAGCCTTCGCCCTGACTCCCACAGCTCTTCCCCCAGGAACCCTTTGCTCTATGGGGATGGTGCAGCAGCTGGTGGCCCTTGTGAGGACAGAACACAGCCCTTTCCATGAGCACGTGCTTGGAGCCCTGTGCAGGTGTGTTGGGGCCCCAGGAGGAGGGGGCCTTGCATGGAGTCCCCACTAGCCTGCTCCTACGCTGGGATCCTATACTGGAATTATTCCTGTGGGAGATGAAGAGTATAGGCCAGAGAGGAGCAGGGATCACACAATGCTTTTCCTCACAATCCTTGGGAGGAAGACTTCCTTCTTATGGTTCCCACAGGGTGAACGAATTTTCCTTTTCTTTTTTTAAGATTATATGCATGGGTGCTATCTGAATGTACGCTTTTGTACCAGAAGAGGGCATCAGATCCCACTAGAGGTGGTTGTGAGCCACCATGTGGTTGCTGGGAATTGAACTCAGGACCTCTGGAAGAGCAGCCAGTGCTCTTCACTGATGAGCCATCTCTCCAGCCCCCTGTTCTTTTTTCATCCTGCAGACCTTGAAGGGTCACATGTGGCCCAGGGTTGCTGTGAATGCTCCCAATATAGAATTGTAAATGTACTGAAAACACTGTAAGATTTCTTAAAATAACTCAATTGTACCATTCTCCAGCGTGAGCTTTGTAGATGACAACATTATGTCACAGTGTCATTCGGTTGGGCACACCTGGACCATGATGGAGCCAGCACAGACATCATGGCAGTCACCATCTAAACTTTGTATTCAGCACAGTGATGTGTAGCAGTGGGAGAGCAGTTTCACAGATGGGGAGCCAGGGCCCACTATAGGGCCATGGCATACCTTGGCTCCCACAGGAGCAGTGGGGGGCGGGGGGGCGGGTGGAGCTGGGCTGTGGTCTTCATTGTAGACGGGGTCCTAAGGTCTGCTCTCATGTCCCCTGTAGCCTTGTGACAGACTTTCCCCAGGGTGTGCGTGAATGCCGGGAGCCTGAGCTGGGCCTGGAGGAGCTGCTCCGACACCGCTGCCAGCTGCTGCAGAAGCATGAGGAGTACCAGGTAGAAGGGGTGGGGGGGGTCCTGTGCCGCCCTGTGGCCTGCAGGCGCAGCCTGCCCTGCCTTCTCTCACTGTCGCGTTTTCTCCTGGAGCAAACACTGTGGGCTGCATGCTGTGTCAGTCGGGAAGTGGGAACTATTTTATAAACTGTTAAAAATGATAAACTGATGAGTTATTATGTACGACAGAAGTGATAAACATCCTTAAATATCTAATTAAATAGGCGAATAAATTAAGTAGATAAAAATAGCTAGCTCAGTCAGGCGGTGGTGGCGCACGCCTTTAACCCCAGCACTCAGGAGGCAGGGGCAGGCGGATCTCTGTGAGTTCGAGGCCAGCCTGGGCTACAAAGAAAGTTGGAAGACATCCAGGGCTACACAGAGAAACCCTGTCTCGAAAAACAAAAAAGCAAAAAAAAAAAGGGTTTTTTTAAGTTATATGTTCGTGTTTATGTGTTTGTGGGGTACCTTGGAAGCCAGTGGAAGGCATTGGAACCCCTGGAGCTGAAATTACAGTTGGTTCTGAGCTGCCTGATGTGGGTGCTGGGACCGTGAGTCCAGGGCCTCTGCAAGAGCAAGTCAAGTGCTCTTAACCACGGAGCCATCTCTCCGGCCTCGGCTATTTGTTCTTTACCTTCCGTGTGTGTGCCATGGCACTTGTGTGGGGGTCACAGGACAACTTTCCGCCGTGTGCGTCCTGGGGCTCAAAGTCGGGTTGTCAGGCTGACAGCGGGCACTTGTGCGTCTGCGACACCTTGCCAGCCTTGACCATTCGTTTTGTGACGTCCCACTGCTTCAGTGCTGCCACTCTGGACAAAGCTAGGCATAGCAGATGTGCCCCGGCGATGTCCCTGCGTCTGTGCTCTGTGGACTCACCTGGTGTTTACACAGGGATGTTGGTAAGGAGAGGCAGGACACCCGTCCTGATCTCATCCCGGGAACTGTGACCTCGGAGCACGGGAAGCTGCGGCCCAGCCTGGCCTGGTGTCGGGGAGAATGTGGGGGGCCTACATGCTACATTTGTACTTATCTCCCAGGAGACCCTGAGCTGAATGACCCCAGGGCCCACCTTCGAGGTGCCCACCACCAGGGGGACAGACCAACACTTACTATTATTATTTTTGAAAATTCTCAAAACATAAAGACAAGGCTGGATATTTGCTCCTCAGTAATAAAAACAAGGTAGCACTGAGGCAGAGGCAGGCAGATCCCTGTGGGTGGAGGCCAGCATTCCAGGCCTGGTGTATATAGAGCATTCCAGGCCTGGTGTATATAGAGCATTCCAGGCCTGGTGTGTATAGAGCATTCCAGGCCTGGTGTGTATAGAGCATTCCAGGCCTGGTGTGTATAGAGCATTCCAGGCCTGGTGTGTATAGAGCATTCCAGGCCTGGTGTGTATAGAGCATTCCAGGCCTGGTGTGTATAGAGCATTCCAGGCCTGGTGTGTATAGAGCATTCCAGGCCTGGTGCGGGATGAGAGGCGTGCACCACTGTACCCAGCAGGGGAGTTTGATTCCTGGTGTTGGAGGTTCTCTCTTTCATTTCAGCTCTATTGTGAGGAGTGTGGATGGCTTCATGGCCTCATTGATTTAACTGCCTCTTATTTATTTTTTTAGGTAGGTTCTCACTGTGTTAGCTCAAAGTGCTCTCAAACTTGAAATCCTGAGGTAGCTGTCTCTTTTTTTTTTTTTTTTTGGTTTTTCGAGACAGGGTTTCTCTGTGTAGCTTTGCGCCTGGAACTCGCTTTGTAGACCAGGCTGGCCTCGAACTCACAGAGATCCGCCTGGCTCTGCCTCGCGAGTGCTGGGATTAAAGGTGTGCGCCACCACCGCCTGCTGGTAGCTGTCTCTTAAAGGAGGTGTGGGGTGTCCCCAGTTGCTCACCACTACAAACACTGCTAGAAGAACAGGCTTTTGAGGCAGGGAACAGCTCAGATCCCAGGTACACACAATCCCAGCACTCAGGAGCCAGAGAGAGAAGATTCCTTGGGGCTCAGGTGTAGCCAGTCCAGTAGAATCAGTGAATTCCAGGTTCAGTGAGAAACTGTGTCTCAAAAAAATATGGATGGTGGGCTGGAGAGATGGCTCAGTGGTTAAGAGCACTGGCTGTTCTTCCAGAGGTCCCGAGTTCAATTTCCAGCACCCATACTCAAAACCATCTACAATGAGATCTGGTGCCCTCTTCTGGCCTGCAGGCATACATGCAGACAGAATACTGTATACATGATAAATAAATACATCTTAAAAAAATTAAAGGTGGCACACACTTTGAGTCCTAGCACTGGGGAGGCAGAAGGAGGTTGATCTCTGTGAGTCTGAGGCCAACTTGGTCTGCAGAGTGAGTTCCAGGCCAGCCCAGGGCTACACTGTGAGACCTTGCCTCCAAAAGAAAAGATAAGGAGATGGAGAGCAGGTGAGAAAGATGCTTGTTGTTAACCTCTGGTGTCCACACCCATGTGTCTACACATTCACTCATACCTGCACACATATGTGCACACAAACAAGGTAGATGGCTTCTGAGAACTTCCCATACATGCAGGCACATGAGTGTACACATACTGACATAAAACACTTTCACACCTCCCATAAAAATACAGCTTAAACAGTTTTTACATTCATCTGTTTATTATGTGTGTGGGCGGCACGTATGTGCCATGGAGGTACAGGACAATTTGTGGGAGTCAGTTTTTTGTTTTTTTGGTTTTTTTTTAATTTTTAAAATTTATTTATTTTTTTAATTACACTCATGATATTCATTAATTACACTCATGATATTAATTACATTTGTGGTATTCATTGATTACATTCACAGTATTCATTCAATAATTATATTTATGATATTAATTACATTAATTGTATTGATTTATTACATTCATGATATTATGTCCTGATCCTCCTATCCATTTGTGGGGTTTTTCCATCACACAAAAGAGAGATTCTGTACTTAGTAAATGGGAGTCAGTTCTTAACTTCCACAACATGAGTAGTAGAGATTGAACTCATCCTCAGGCTTGGTGGCCAGCGCCTTTACCTGAGGTGGATATATGAGAACCACAGGGCTGATTCGAGGACAGACCAGTTTGGAAGGCCCCAGGCTCTCTCTTCCAAAGCTTAGAAAACCCTGAGGAGGGCAAGTGCGCGTGATCTGAGCAGTAGTTCAGTGGCTACTGGAGTGGCCAGGAGTAGAGAGGGTTGTCCCGGCTGCTGAATCTGCAGGAGGCAGGTCTGCCCCTGTGCTCAGGATTTCTCTCTTCCCCTGATCCAGGAGGAGCTGGAGTTCTGTGAAAAGCTGTTACAGACCTGTTTCTCCAGCCCTACGGACGACAGCATGGATCGATGAGACCGGGTGGCTTCTTGCATTCTCTCCGTGGGAACCCCAGGCCTCCTGCCTCCCTCCTTACCAGGCGCCCTCTCCCAAGGGATTGCCAGGCCTTGTTCTGGCCTGGGCCTGGGCCTGCCAGCCCGTCTCTGAGCAGCCCCCTGGAGGGGCTGCCGAGAAAGGTGCTGGCCCCTTGGAGCCCCTCCCTTGCTTTGTTCCTTTCTTCTCATGTCCACACTGCTCTTCCAATAAAAGCATTTCTCCCGTCCCCTTCCCCTGTATTCTCTCCTTTTGTCTTTTGGAAGGCTCTTACGGAAGGCAGGAGGGGCTTCCATAAGCTTAGAAGACTGGGTGGGGGTGTCCACTAAAGGGATAATGAAAGCATTGCTCGGATCATCAGAACTGCTGTCTCCTTTATCTTCCTGCCTTCGTGGTGCCGGGACCATCTGTCCTCTTCAAATGGGTGTACACACACGTCTACTTATTGAGTGTGTAAGGGAGGGGACGTGGCCTTCAGGTGGAGGTCAGAGAACATGTTGGGACCCCCCTTCTACCATGTGGGTATTGGGAATCAAATCTGTCAGGTCATGAGGCTTGCACAATAAGCACCTTTACCCATGGAGCCAACTCGCCATCCCTAAAGGAGGTTTTATGTGAAGGTTAATCTTCACTGTCAAGTTGGCTGGATTTAGAATCACCGTGGAAACACGTCTCCAGTATGTCTATGGGACTGTTTCCAGAAAGGTTCAATTGGAAGAGGAGGACCACTCTGAATATGGGTGACACTGTCCTATGGGCTGGGGTCCCAGACTGGAAAGGAGACATGCGGAGCAGAACTAGTGTTAACAATTTTCGTATGTGCAGGTGACGGTCTGTTACACAGAACTAGCTAGCTGATACAAGGATCAAACGAACACTACCAGCAGCAAACAAGTTAGAAATAACACACAGCCCAGAAGAGACAGAAAAAAAAAATTACTGACAGGCTTTAATCCATGAATGCAGGTCCATTAAAGCCATTTGAGAATTAAGGGGTGAAAAAAAAAAAAAACAAAAAACCCCCAAAAAACTAGGTCTCCTGAAAGAATACACACAAACAGGACTCAAAATAACTTCCCCGAAATATGAAGTGCCAATCTGCTGCTTTCAAGAAGGAAAAGTGTCTTACATGCACTGACCTCTAAAATGGGCACGAAAGAGGGCATGAAAGTTGGGGTAAACTGAGGCTCAGCGCTAGAAAAGGCCCTTAAGTGACGGAATCCCGGCGTAAGGGGTTGCTCCGGGTTGTGACAAGAGAAAGCTTTGTGTAGCAACTGGCGACGGCAGACGTCGCTTGGGCACCTGCCGAAGTGGGGACTGAGATCAGCCTGAAATGCCAGGCGAAGGCGTCCGCGACGAACCCGGCCGAACAGAAGCAGCCAGCTTCGGGTGGGGACGAGAAGTCGGAATGGATTCTTCGGGAGTGGACACTAGCGTCCAGGCAGAAGCATGATTGGAGGAGACGGAACCACAAATGGATTTCCGAAGGTAGCTGTCAGGGCGAAAGACCCTGAAACAGAACAGTCAGTGGGTTTTGGAACGCAGTCATAGAAAACGGGGTTCTGGGTGCAGCGGCGCCTGCGCAGTGGGCCCACCGGGTTGATGCAGGAAGAACGTTGGCAACGGCGGGCACAGGCGGCGGCGGAGTTCCGGAGTGGGCGGGGTCTGGGCGCCAGGCTCCAGCGCGCACGCGCCGCGCCGCGCCGGGCGGACCGAGCGGCCTCCGGCGCACCTGCGCACGGAGAGCGCCCACGAGAGGGCGGGGCCTGCCTCCTTGGGTCCTCCCGCGCTCGGGGCATTGTGGGACAGTGGCGGAGCTAGCTGTGCGTTGGAGGCCCTGAGCTGGACGCCCGGGCCGGGGAGACCCAGCGGCTTCAGGGGACACCGAGGCGGAGGAGACGGGCGTCGGCTCTCGGTGTCGCTCTGCACCCGTCGGGGCTGCGGAGGCCTTTCCCCACCCCGTCCCGCCGGTGCCGGCGCGTCTGTGTCGTGTGTGTGTGTGTGTGTGTGTGTGTGTGTGTGTGTGTGCGTGTGTGTGTGTGTAACCCGCGGCGACTTCCCTCGTCGCCCCTGCTTCGGAGGCGCCTGCGCAGGCCTCGCGTCGGCCGCCGAGCTCTGCTGTGGAACGAGCGCGCCTACTTTGTCGCGACGCCCCGAACTCGTCGACGCTCGGCGGTGAGGCAGGGGGATTCCCTGTGACCGGAGGGCGCTTGCGCGGCTCCGCGAGCTCCGGCCCAGGCGCCTGCGCGAGGCCCCCCACCCCACCCCACCCCACCCCCCCGGCGCCGCCCCCGCCCCTCACAGCCGGCCCCTCGGCAGGGCCGGAGCCGCCGGCGGCGGGGCGGCGGGGGCGCCCCGATGAGCCCCGAGTGCGAGGAGCCGCCGCCCCCTCCGCGCAGGTGAGCACCGCGGCCGCCTTCTCACTCCATCCGAGTGCTTGCCTCAGCCCCCCGCAGCACCCCCCGAGTCGCTTAGCATCCTCCCCAAGTCCCCCGGCCACTTGTCAGTGTCGTCAAGTCTGTTTCCTGTCGCCGGGCGGGCCTGTGTCTCCCTCGCTGTCATCGTCCCCACCCCATCTTCCTCGTCCCCTGAGGGTCCCCTCTGAGTCTCTGGGACTCTCCTTCCTTCCTTCCTTCCTTCCCTCCCCTCTTCTCCCTGCAGCCCACCACCCCCATCTCTTCCCACTGGGATCTACATCCCCTCCACCTGTCCTTCTGACTCAGCTCCCCTGGGACTCCTCGGGCCCACTCCCCTGTCGTCGTCTCCCTCCTCCTGAGCGCCTTCCTCTTTTCTGCCTCCCGCCTTCTCGTCTCTGGGTCGCCCCCTTTTCATTCTCATCCTGCATCCTGCGTGGACCCTTGGCCTTTCAGATTCTCGCCCTCGGCTCAGGAGGGCAAGATGAAGCAGGTTTTCCCGTCACCTTGGCTGGGGCCGTCCTGTCCCCGGCTGTCCCTAGCTTCCTGTGGTGAGGAGGCACTTGGAAGCCACTGCTCTTTGGTGCCTTACTGGCACTCGTGTGAGATGAGGCCTGCTGAGGGCAGGGCCTGGTTGCTTGGTGCTGGGTCCGGGAGGGAGTGGTTAGCAGAAGGTCCTGGCACTTTGTCTACCCAGGGAGCCAAAGGCAGAGGTGGACAGTCACAATTGCTGTGTGTTGTGATGGTGGTAACCCAGGGTGCTGTGGCAGCAGGCCACAGAGTGGGAGAGGCTGGTGAGACCGGCCGGATGGGTGGCTTTTCTCTCGAGGAAGGCTGAGTAGGAGTTAGCAGATGGAGAGTGGGAAGAAGGACTTTCCAGGTGGAAGAAACAGCACGTGCAGATATGTGAAGGTGGGGACACTGAAGGAGTCGGGAGTCCCGGGGGGTGACGTGGGGTGACGTGCTGGGAGGGTAAAGGGCGGAATGCCTTGGCTGGGACGTTTGTCCAGGGCCTTAACTGACCTGTTGGTGGTGGCTTCCTTTTCCTCCCTTCAGTGGTGGGGCTGGGGCCCAAACCCAAGGTCTCCTGCTGCTGGCAAACAACTCGTACCACCGAGCAACGATGCAGCCTAAGCCTCCCCGATGACTTTTAAGTCGTGAGACAGTGTCTTACTATGTTATTTAGACTTGCTTTGAACTCGGTCTGCAGAGCCAGTGGGATATTGACTCAACAATCCTCCTGTCTCAGTCTTCTAAGTAGCTGAGGTTACATGTTTATGTTACTAGGCCGAGGTGGTTAGGGTCTTCTTGATCACTCTTAATATACAGAGGCAACTTTACTGAGGACATACTACCATTAACACCTCCCTGGAAGGCAAGATGTTTCTGGAAAGGAAGCTGAATTGTATGTCAGGTGTGGTATGGGTTGAAGGTTGTAAAGCTGCAACAGGGTTGCTTCCATCTTAAAGGCAAGGTTCTGTCAGCACCAAGGCCAACGTTGCGGGGACTGGATTGCTTCAACAATACACTATAAGCTGTTTATATGTGCATTTTGAATACCTAATGTGGACAGTTTACATGGGAGCACTTGCCATATTCTGCCACATACACTTGGAGTTGTCTTGTGCTGTTTAAAATTGCTTCTCCTGTGGGGTTTTTTGTTGTTTATTTTCTGGTAGCCTTTGCCTAATTTGATCATTTTCCCAAGTTCAGTGACTCTAGTCCTCTAGTTTTGGGATTGGGATAATGGGGAATTATTTAGAGCAGGATCTTTTGTGAGTTAGATCTAGGTTCGAGTCCTGGCTCTTGCCTTTCCAAGTGGTTTGTTCTTGGAAAAGTTATACAAACGTTCTGTACCTGTTTCTTTTGTGTAAGTGGGCTAATAGGAGGGCTCTCTGTGTTGGGTGGTTTTGGGGATTGAGTGCAGTGTTTGTAGATGCCTGTCAGAATGTAAGGCACAGCAAGTGCACCACATCGGTAGCTCTTAGATTTATGATCTGATTTTTCAATGTCTTCGTAGTTCTCAGTAGGTATGATGTGTCCTTTAGGGGACATTTGGCAATGTTTGGAGACCTCTGGTTGTCGAAACTACAGGAGATAGGAGGAGGTATGTATATCCCACCCAGGAATGCTATCACTTGTCTTCCGATATACAGGGCAACTTCACCACAAATAACTATCCAGTCCCAAATGCCATTGGTGTTGATGGGGGAGATAGCAGGGAAACACTGCTTTATTGCTTAAACATCTTGTGTACTTTGTGCTTCTATGTGATGTGAGCTGTTGAGTATTTTCCTTTATATTCATCCTCTTTGGTTGTTTGCTTTTGTTGGGTCATGTGGCATCTTTTATTCCATTGAAGGAAAGCAACCTCACCCCGCCCCCCCTCCTTTTTTTTTTTTCCCCCTACTTTGGGATCTCTGGCCAAGTGACCTTCAGAGATCACTTTCTCCTCTCTGGCTTCAGTTTCCATTAATCCAACAAGTACTTTTACTTCTTATTTTGAACCAGAGTCTCATGTAGATCCACCTGGTCTCAAACTCACTATGTAGCCAAGGGTGACTTATTTCTATCCTGTCTCTACTTCCCTAATATTAGGATGGCGGTGGTGGTCCACTGTTGGAATTCTAGCTCAGGGCCTTGTGCATGCTAGACAAACACCTTGGCAAATGAACTACATCCCCAACCGCCAACAAGCACTTTTGGTTTTGTATCTGGCAGTATGTTAGATTCTAGGTGACATCTCTAGGGAGTGTCAGGTGCCTGGACATACCTATCTTTTCCTCACAGCTGAGGCATATATGCTCTCATAGAGTGACT